CCTATGACAATTATCTGAGCGAGAAAAAGGCAGCGAGAACGCACAGATATCAGCACTGATTTTTTCAACAACTACGAATATCAGCCTGGATCGAACAGTATGTCACAAAATAAAGTTTCAGCGAACAACTTTTCTAAGTAAATAATTCATGAAAGAATCCGAAATTAAGACCTCTGTCGAGAAATTAAATCCAAAATTCGAGGTAAGTTTCGGTTTCGCTCCAGAATTAAAACGCGCATCCTTCCGTAATTAATACGCTAAACACCGTTCTTGTTTTCGGGTTAAAGAGGTGACCTGCGCTCATAAAACATTAGCTTCCTCGTAATACCAGAAACAATTTACGTCGCTCAGTGAAGCCAGCACACTAGACAGGCTCAACAGCGGCACGCATCTCTGACCCTCACTAAACCCGCCATCTTGGAAAATCAGTGGCGCCACCTATAGTTAGTTGGAGTCGCGAATACAGGAACTCTAGAGTAGCGCCGTACGCGGTCGAGTTGCTCCGTGGTAAGGTGTGCTAAAACACCTTATCCGGGGCCCCTGACGACAGGTGGGTACATCTGTGCACCGGCTTGCGCTAATAGAATAAAAACCGCTACAATTGCCCCCCCCCCCCCCCCCCAAAAAAAAAAAAAAATAAATAAATAACGGTGCGACGTTGACAGCATTTACGAAATACTCCAAATGTTAGGTAACCAAAAGCTGTAAAAACACACAAGCAAAAGCAGCCGCCGCGCTTTCGCTCGCCACCGGCAGCGCCGCATATTCCCCTCGTGATGAACTTGCGAAGTAAGAATGAGCCGGGATGACCTTGAAGGATTTGGGTAGCGCGGCGCAGGTATTTTATGTTTCTGGATGAGGCTGAAAAGTATGAATGTATAATTGTAAGAGATTGTTGGAAGAGGAGAGTTTCAAGGGGCTGAGTGCATTTACTGAGCCAGGAAAGGTGACATCGACCAGAAAAAAATTACTGAAACATGAGGCGCAACTGCGAATGTGGGGTGCGCGTTCGGGGTTTGGGTCAAAGCTCCCGCGCAGCCGAATCCGCAGTTTTTACCGTCCACTTCGTCGTGGCCGCGGCCAAAATCAAAAGAAAGATTGAGTGCGTTCTGAATTTCGCCGTGCCCACAACGCAACGCGCGTTGCCCTTTAAGTTACGAAGAGTCGCAAACTTCAACTCTAGAGTATCCTTACCCAGAAATTGTTAAGTGGAGAGTATTTGTTAAGTTCATGGCGCCCGCTAGAGGAACATTTGTGGCTAGTGGTTGGTCACAAGAGCTGTCGGTCATCGTGCCCAAGGTCACTAACACAGCCTCAGCCAATGATGCGCCCTTATTTTCGCCCTTTTCTTACCAATGATTGACCAAACTCTCTACGTATACGGCTCTGCACCGCCCCCCTCCAAGGCGCCACCATGCGGCACCCGCGCGCACCGGGACCCAGCCTCGGCCTTCGCTTCGCACACCGCCTCTTCTGAACACCTTAAGGCCCGTACACACTCTTGCAACCGAGTACGACCGAGAGAGACGAGACCGGTTTTGAAGCCTTTTGCGACTTCTTAGGGCCAGATGCGATGCAGCGGAGCTGGTCCTAAGAGATCGCAAGATGCTTAAAAACCGGTCTGGTCTCTCTGCGTCTTACTCAGTCGCAAGAGTGTGAACGGGCCTTTACATAAACAAAATGATATCAAGACATTTTAGTCGGGTAGTTATCACGAAACTACGCCCCCCCCCCCCCCCCAGGTCACGTGACACTCTCACGGTGGGGTATTTGTTCAGAAGGCTCGTCACCTGTATGCGGTCTTCGCTAGGTGAAACAGAGTATAGCTTTGAAAACTTGGTGCGTCATTTTCGTTTTAACGAGCATAGTGACGTCAAAAAGCCAACGCAACTGAAGGGGTCCATTGATATCTGGAGGTTGTTAAAATAGAAGTGCGTGTTTGAAGTTCCGGCAGCCGGCACAACATCCCAAAGGGTAATAAATGGAAAACGAAGAAATAAAATATCCACGTGGTGTTTATATACTGGGTGTTTAAAAAGCATTAAATGTTTTTCTCACCACACACACACACACACACACACACACACACACACACACACACACACACACACACACACACAATAAAAAAAAAGTTATCGCTTTACGTTTAGTTTCCACCTAAATATATCCAGCACTTGACGCTATCTAAATCCAAAAAAATTATCAGCGTCTTTTTTTTTTTTGAGTTTTTAAGGGCATATTTGGCGCGTTCCCAGTAGCGTACGTCATTCCTCTCCCTGTCATCGGGGTCTCCGTTCGCCGCCATTTCCTCAATAAAAAATTACGAAAATCGCTTACAAATATGTTAATGAAATAACGGTAAGTTGTGGAACTTTGAAAAGTATTCCCGACCGCTAGCGCTGCATTTAGGCGGAGAATGAGCGGTCGGCGATGCGTAATTTATTTTGGCGGTGAGAGAAAAAAAAAACAAGGAAAAAAACAGGACTTCCTTTTTTCGAAGGTTCCTGGTATATATACCAACTGTCAAGTCAGATCACGTATATGGTTAGCATCCCCTCATTGGTTGCTTTCAACCACCCAAAATTAACGCTAAAAATGCAATTTTCTTGCGGGCAAAATATTTAACGTCGAGCCGGCTGCCAGCAATAAGCCTGGCTTTCACGCGACGTTACAACTTGTTCTTGTGGAGAAAGGGAGAAAGACATATTTGGTGGTGCGAAATGCGTGCAGCAGAAGACGTGCTGAGCAGCAAGGTTCTTCACAATGGCCGCAGATATGCCGCATATAAAAGCCAGGGGCGAATTTAGGGGAAAGAAGGGGGGGGGGGGGGGGGGGGGAGGGCTTGCTCCACCTCACCTATAGGTCCTACCAAGGTTAACTTTTTTTAAATAAAAAAAAAAAATGGATATACACCACCCGAAAGATTAGTGTTTGGTGACAAAGCAAATACTGGGTCAAAAAAAAAAAAAAAAATTCTGGGCAACGTATTTGACGCCAGAAGGTCACTGACTTCTGATTGGCTTTCATTGGAAGGACAGGGGGTAGACCTCAATGCTAGATGCTTTAAAATAATACTTCAACGAAATTTGAAATATACCCGTCGTGTTAAAAATATCTTGATTATGATGCACAATATCCGTAAATAACAGTAACACGTTTGTATTTTGAGCCTGGTGGCTATATTTTTTGTTATAAACGGCCCACTCTAGCAAGCGCTGGGAGAAGGCCCAGCTTAGAGCACGTGACTTCCGACGCAATCGTGACGTAGTTCGTCTCGGGACGAGCAAAGCTACGGCGAGGCTGACGTCGAGAAGGTGGCCTAGTCGTTCCAGCCACCGAAGCGGCTGCTTTTGTACGAATTTTGAGTGACGGGTTAACCTTCTAGAATATTGTAGAGGGACGATAGCGACTTCTGGACACACAAAAGAGATTCACGGGGAGAGGGGAGTTCCTCCTGCCTCTCTTCTCTCGTGGTGGCCGGAGGCGAGACAGTTACCGTCACTACCTGTCAATGTTCCTAGACGGGCATTACAGACTAGGCTTTAGCGACATCCACCAGGTGCTCTTTGCTAATCGTTTAACTTGTTTTCAAATTCCTTTTCGTGTCTTTTTTTAACGTGATATTGGATTGTCCGATGTGATGCTGTTCCTTTGAACACGTATAGACAAAAAAAAGCAGCGCCGACATTTTGTTGTAGTATCCCTTTAAAAACTGCCTACAATTTACTTTTTTTTTTTTCTTTTTTCGATCAGCCAATAAGGGTTTTGCGTTCTGAGATCATCGCAACCCCTGTACAAGAAGCAGACAACTTGCGCCCCGCATTGAAACAGTTACAGAAGAGCGAGTTTCAGACCTGCCAGGGCAAGCAGCAAAGGGAGCCCGTGCCAAACACAGGACAGATTGCAACCTGGGTGACAGTCGATCGAATGCTTCACACGCGATCTTCGAAAAGTTGTGGTTAGCCGATAGGGTCTCTCGTTTATACGACTCTTCTCAACCCCGAACGACTCTCGCTCACGCGCCCCGTGACGAAAGACGGCCTCTGAAACGTCGGATGACCCTGGCGTGACGCCAAGCGCCGACGTCATCGCGCCACAAAACGCGGCGCGGCGACCACCGCCACAGCAAGCGAGCGAGCGCACGAGCCAACGCTGCGATCGAAGCTACAACGGGCGGTGACGTTGCCGCTGTAGTAGGCTTGTACCAAAAATAACAATAAAAAGAAACCGACGATAACACGGTGTTGGCGCAGCGCTTGGCTCTTCGTAAGTGGGACCGTAAGCACTTGCTCGGCGCTCGCTTATCTCGAGCAGCCCAGCGAGACGACAACGCGCCCGAGACGGCCATTGGTGGCAAAAATAAATCGTGCCTACGCGAGCCGAAGACCTCGCCATCCTCCTTCCGGCCCAACGGTTATCAGCCGTGAGATACCCAAGGTCTCGACGCGGGCCAACTCGGCAAACGACGCCACTGACGCCGTTTTTGCGGCGGCGGCGGCGGCGACGCCCGGCCGCCGCGCCGGCTCGCGGAAGAAAGCCGGCGGACTTCCGATCAATACCGCCGAGGACAGCACCTCTCCGCGCGCGCGCGCGGTCCGCTACCGGCTTCCCCTCGGACTCGAGGTGCAGAATGGACCGTTCCTCCGGCGCGTCGACGTCACTAAAGGGAACTCTGCCCGAGCGCCGCTGACGTAACTGCCCCGGCCGTCCGCCCGTCCGCTCCAACCTCCTCGAAACAGCCGACGCTACTGACGCTACTCCCCGACCGAAAAGAACGAAGAGCGACGGCACGCGCGCTGGCACAAACACGCATACTCGTTTAAAGCACAAAGACCGCAAAATAAAGGACGAGAGGGGAGGGAGGGGACTCAATCTGCACGGACACGTCCGCGTCGTCGAAGTGACGCGCGTTGGAATGACGCTATCGCGTCAAAACGCGTAAAAAGAGGATTTTTTTTTTTTCGATCACGCACCGGGTAGTGGTCGGCGGGTGTTCTGACCTGGAGCGTTCTTGAGGGAGGTGGCGGCGTCGAACGAGTACACCCGTCCCACCATGGCATGTTCCTTCTTGTAGCGCACGTCGAACGGCACCCCCATCACGGCCGTCGGCAGGGACTCGCCTCTTGTGAGCGGCGGTCGGACGGGCGGAGCGCCGGTCTCGTCCAAAGTCGCGGCCCGTTTGGGCGGCTCCGTGGGCCCGGCGTCGTCTTCGTCGCGCTCGCGCTTGCAGGCCAAACTGGCCGCCTGTGCCCGCGGATCAGCCGCCGCGGCGGCACGCATCCGCTGGCTGTACTCGAGCATGGCGCTGCGCCGCTCAAATCTGTCCATGACCGGGCCGAGCGGTCCCTGCGGCGGCGGAGGCGGCGGCGCGGCGCGGTGAACGTCGGGCGGCGCCCCGTTCAGTCCCTTGAAGACCGGGCGCGTGTCCGGGAATCCGTGGGCCCGTTTCATCTGCCGTGCGGTCTCGAGCACCACCTCGATCCGATCGGCGCCCTCGTAGTTCACGCAGCCGCGACACACGGGCTCCGAGAAGTCGTGCAGCATCGCCCACGGCATTCGCGGCAGGTCGCACAGGTAGCAGTGCTGCCGGTGAGCCCGAGACATGAGTGTCGACATCTTGACCATGGGGCGCAACGCTCGGCCCCAGGGTGTCCCGTGAATCACACCGTAGCGGCCGCAACACCACACGCATGCACAACAACACCCGACGACGACGTTGGGAATAATACACAGACAAAAAAAAATAACGCCGCCCCGCACGGGAAAATAAAAGCGGCAGCAAAACAACACGCGTACACACACACACCACACAGTTCCTTGGCGCTGCAAAATGGAGCCCGCGCCAGCCGGGAACTTGTGCGCACGCGCGGCGTTTTCCCCCCTTCCCGCCGTCGGCTGCAAGCGAACCCTGGGAGGGCGGCACGCACGCCGGCCTGCTCACGTCACCGCTTCAGCTGAGACGACGTCACGAACACGCACCTCGCACGCTCCTGGCCTTCCTACCTCCCCTCGAGACATTCCCGAATGCGCTCGTCCGTCCGCGGTCGTGGAGGGAGGGGAAAAGGGACGGCACCAGCGGCACGCCGGCAGCAGCAGCAGTCGACGCTGCCGAGGCCAAGCCGGCCAAGCGCACTGCTGGTGTGCTTCATTAAACCAATAAAACAAATATGCCGCCAAACGTACCGCGAACACCGACGAGGATAGCGCGCGCGTAGAAAAGAAAATAGGAAGAAAAAAAGAACGTAAGTATGAAACAGAGGAGAGGCAGCCGTCGCGTAAACAAGCCAATCGAAGCGCGGCACGAGAGAAACGTAGCCGTGCGTGAGTCAGAACCGTATGTTTACGTGTTCTCGATCGCTCCCTTCACCCGCGTCGTGCTTCCTCCGTAGGATTCCTGCCTCGCCGCGTCGGGCTGCGTGCTCGCGCTCTTTGTTGGGTTCATTTTCCCGGGCAGGGCGCGCCCATTCCGTCGCTCCGAGGGGTGCTCGGTGACATGAACTCGCGCACGCGCGCTCGCCGCCTGCCCAGGCTCCCGATTTAGCTCCTCCAACGCCGCCGCGAGGGAGGCGAACTACGGCCGTTGGTAGCGCTCAGCGGTACGGCGGCACGGTCCACTCGTACACCCCTTGGTCGACTTGATTCGACGTCGTTTGCCCGTTTGCCGCGTTTCTTCGCCCACGGGTCAGTGCAACACGACCCGAAATTACGAAAGCCCGTGCGACAGCATTTCTGACGTCATCAGGCTGAGACCGAGCACGTACGCCGATTGGACACGATTTGTACGTCAGCGTTCGGTTGGACCTCGTGTCCAATCAACGCGTCCGAAGGACGCTCGGCGTCGGGCTCGGGCCCAATTGCTGACTTGGTGCCATCCGAGTGTGATGACGTCACGTGGACGGTGAAGGTAGGGGTGGTTGTTTCACAGGCTGTTGATAACCCCGGCGAAACAAATCACCCAGAGTGATTGGTTCAAAGACGACGAACACTGTGCCGATGCAGTTTTGGCGCTGATTGATTGTTCGTCTCCATCAACCAAAAGGGTCTAACGTAGCCTGAGGTGCTGATATCCGAATGTCATGATGATGTCACGACTTCCGAACCTCCGTGTTGGAAGGAGTTTAGCGCTGAATCACGTGACGAGGGCTTCCTTTCCTTTTCTTTATAAGTGTTTGACGTGACAACTACGTCACGGTGGCGTTGAGCCAATTCTGCCGGACACCGCCCGGTGTTTCCGGGCGCGGTCGGCGGCGGCGGCGGCGTTTCCCGACGTAATGACGTAATCGTCGGATCGTCCGATGACGCCCGTTTCCTGCTTTGTTCCAGGCGTGCCTTGTTCTCGATCGTGCACGCCCGCCGCCCTGTTGCGACACGCCACGGGCCCCGAGGGGCAGCGTTGCGTGGCACCGACGACTGCATCACCTCGTCTGCTTCCACGGAAGGCGTATCTGCTCGCTGCGGTGCGGATAAAAAGCTGGCGGTGCTCCTGGCCGAGATTGCTTCCCGGTGAACGGGACGCATACAAAGAAGTGCTCGGAAACAAGGAAATGCAGTGTTCCCCTCCGTGCTGGTTTTAGCAGACGAGCCCCGGCGGCGAATTGATCAGGAAACTACGAAGTCGGTCTGTCGCCAGCTCGGTGTGCGCAATGTCTAGCTAAAGAAAAGGGCACGGATCTCTCGCGACCTTGCGACGTCTACTCGGAATGAAGATTTCTATTCGTAACTTTTTGCTTCCTCTTCTTTCTTTTTCTTTTGAGTGAGCCACGTTTAAGTTGTGCGTCCCGCCACTCTGTATAAAGTCATCGGACGAAATAGAGCAGGACACATGGTTCAGCAATACACTTTGTTGGGCCCGCTTCAGACGGGGCAACTTTTCCAGCAATTTCGGGGTTGCTGGCGGTTTGCTCCCTAGCTTTCCCTAGATTGACACGAATTGCTGAGATGGAGTCCGGCTTGAAACGGACGAGCAACTCGGAGACGTTTGAAGCGGCTGCAGCCAATCAGGAATGCGATATTTTCACGTGACACCCCCGTGGTGGTAATGATGACAACTAAAGAGTTGGTTCTGATTTGAAATGGATGGTTTTTGGAAATAAACTATTTCAAAAAGATGAGTTAGTATTCTCAGCGCAATTTAAAGATATAAAAACATGTTTTTAGGATATAACTGCGTCTAAATACTGCAAGAAAAATCAGATTGAATGATGATGATGGCAAGTCGTAGCAATTCGGTTGCTGCGTGTGATCGCGGGCGGTCCGTGTTGCTGGTGTTGCGACGTGAAGTTGCTGGACGTAATTGCCCCGTCTAAAGCGGGCCTTAGCGCACTCTACGCTACTTGGTTTGGGCGCAGCCGATTTTGGTGCTGCTCGTTTTGGCCTCTTGTAGCGTCTACTACTGTCAAACTTCTGTAACAAACTGTAATCACCATTTTTTTTTTTCTGCCGTTTGTAAGCATTTTTTGAACACGGCCGGATTCTGTGGGCTTGACTTTGTAAATGTGCGAAGTACTTGTGTCGAAGGCCTTCACATTCTGTATCTACGTTCGAAAGACAACCCGCATAGTTCCTCATGCGCCAACCCGGCGTTTCAAAATTCCGGCCACCTGCCAATTGTAGACCGAGAAATCGTATCGTTTTCTGCGTCGGTTCAATTCTCTTTGCCGCGGCTGTTGCGACACAATGATAGCGTTGTTTGAGGAACGATTCAGGCGTACGCTATAGCTAGCAATATGATACGCCCTGTCTCAGGCTCCTCGACAGCCTTATTTCGGTCTGGCGGGGTTGCGCAACAACGATACTTCTCGTACAGAGCTATGCGGTCGCTTCTGACGTCATTGCTCTCTGCCGGCCGTTTATCGGGTGTGATATAAACGTCCCCGCATGCGTTATCACTTCTGAAGTTGATTTTGCGAAGGCTTGATAAGACAATCGGCGCTCCGATGACGGCAAAGAGGCGGGAACGACGGATATGTGCCCGTGAAAAGGGAGAGACTAATTTCAGGACTTGTCCGTGCGCGTTTAAAGAATTTCGATAATGTCTATTATGGTGACAACTTAATCTACAATATCTTAGCAACCTAAAGAAGAAAAAAAAAAGTTACATTCGTGGGCGGTTGATTTTTTTATAGTAACAATATTATCTAATGAAAGATCATGACTCGTCCCTTTTTCTGCGCCTTGGAGCGGACACTAGGGGATGTCGTTGGATGGTGTTTTCAAACGATAGGGACTTTGAGCAAACCGTTACCGCGTTCCGCATACCGCACTACCGGAGCCAGTGAAGCACGCTTTGAAGCGCGCGCTCAGGCGATACCGTGACTGCGGGGCGCGCGCTTAAAAGCGTATGCTTCAAAGGCTCCGGTAGTGCGTCACGCGGAATACGGTAACGGGTTGCTACAAGACCTCAATAATTGTTAAGAAACAGAGTGTTTACAAACAAGCCCGCTTTGCCCACACCGCTTTGCCCACACCAGAAACCAGATTCGGGAGGAGTGAGGCATCTGCGCAAGCGCAGTGCTGACTGCAGCGCCACCGCAGTGGTGTGACGTCAGAGAGTTGAGTTGGTCTATAGAGCGTTCCGTTAGGGTCATAGCAGAGAGGGTAAAAGAGGAAATTGAGATTTAAGTAAAATCTCAATTTTAGGGCTTAACGGACTAATAACGAGCTAGACACCTTCGCTTATGTTTGTTATACATTACTCGAGGGTTGATATAAACAAGTCCTCAGATACTACCCGTGCAGTCCATTGAAATACTACCCGAATCCAGCAAAGGTCAAATGAGAGCAATGTATAGAATAAATTTTCCTTGTTTTTTTACGTTGCCCCTGCACTTGGGCTGTCTTACTTGTGAATCTCTCCCCATGGCCCAGACTGTATTTAGCATGTTGCTCGAGCAGCATGCAGCTTTTCTGCTTCGGAGATCTTGTTTAAAAACAGAGATACAAAAAAAAAATAGTATACATAACCTGCCAATTCATTCAGACCATCCACAGCATTTATCGTGCGAGATGTAAATCTCTAGTGATGCTCCTGCAGTTGTGGCCATATTTCTTCATTTTCATATACCAGCTGCGATTCATGCGTTGCCTGCCCTGCCAACCATGCTTAAAATGTTGGTTGAAGTTTCGTCTGTAGCTACAGGCCGTACCTCAATAAAGGCACATATAAAAATTTACACTTCCTACGAAAAACACGCAAAAAAAAATTAAATAGAAACGAGCGCGCCGACAGCTAGCATCGTAACATCCATCGTAGCAATGTATATAATAAATTTTCCTTGTTTTTTTACTTTGCCCCTGCACTTGGGCTGTCTTACTTGTGAATCTCTCCCCATGGCCCAGACTGTATTTAGCATGTTGCTCGAGCAGCATGCAGCTTTTCTGCTTCGGAGATCTTGTTTAAAAACAGAGATACAAAAAAAAATAGTATACATAACCTGCCAATTCATTCAGACCATCCACAGCATTTATCGTGCGAGATGTAAATCTCTAGTGATGCTCCTGCAGTTGTGGCCATATTTCTTCATTTTCATATACCAGCTGCGATTCATGCGTTGCCTGCCCTGCCAACCATGCTTAAAATGTTGGTTGAAGTTTCGTCTGTAGCTACAGGCCGTACCTCAATAAAGGCACATATAAAAATTTACACTTCCTACGAAAAACACGCAAAAAAAAAAAATTAAATAGAAACGAGCGCGCCGACAGCTAGCATCGTAACATCCATCGTAGCAATGTATATAATAAATTTTCCTTGTTTTTTTACTTTGCCCCTGCACTTGGGCTGTCTTACTTGTGAATCTCTCCCCATGGCCCAGACTGTATTTAGCATGTTGCTCGAGCAGCATGCAGCTTTTCTGCTTCGGAGATTTTGTTTAAAAACAGAGATACAAAAAAAAAATAGTATACATAACCTGCCAATTCATTCAGACCATCCACAGCATTTATCGTGCGAGATGTAAATCTATAGTGATGCTCCTGCAGTTGTGGCCATATTTCTTCATTTTCATATACCAGCTGCGATTCATGCGTTGCCTGCCCTGCCAACCATGCTTAAAATGTTGGTTGAAGTTTTGCCTGTAGCTACAGGCCGTACCTCAATAAAGGCACATATAAAAATTTACACTTCCTACGAAAAACACGCAAAAAAAATTAAATAGAAACGAGCGCGCCGACAGCTATAGTCGGTTACAAGTCAAGAAGGTAGGAGAGGCTCCTCCCACAAGTGTGATGCGCCCGTTTCAAATCTCTCCGCAGTCGAAAGAAGAGTTCACTGGAAACGCTCCTTGTTCCGCTTCAATGGATTCCCACTTGTCTCCGATCCCACTTTTTAAGAAAGCGACCTTTGTATTCATCGGAGAGGGAACCGGGCCCCTGAAAGCAGCCTTTGTATCCATCGGGGGGGAAGCTAATCCCCGAAAGTCGTATTTGTTTCCGTCGGTGGGGGAGAACTCTAATCTCCCTCTCGTGGCTTCCACAATGCTAAGTCAAAGTCGAAAGATAAAGCAAATATGTACAGAAAGGCAAGACCTTCCTCGCGCAATGGCCGCGACGTCACGGAAACGGTGGGACGCTATTGGATGCAGAGGTGGCGGAGGGATATCTGACTCCCTTTGAGGGGCATTTGCCGCTACCTTCTTAACCTGTAACTGACTATAGCATC